AACCATGAAGGCCAACCAGACATGTGCCACACATCTTCTCTAGTTCTATAACTTGTAGTTTATAAGTTCCATGGTCCGTCTGCTATAAAACCAAGCACAATTAATAATGGCAATTTGGACATAGAAATAGGCTTACTTGGAGTAATTATACAAAGAGCTGCTGTGTATTCATCGTGTTCCACCAGTTTGGTGTTAAGCCACGAGACGACCTAGCCACGCTGATGGCTCATATGACCTAAGATGTGTCGCTTCCAAACAGAATAAGTTATTCATAACTGCTCTACCGACTCACATGGTTTGTGCCTCACTGTGTCCGCGTACCAGTTTTGTTTGCATTTCATCCACACACACACACACACACAGTCACCCAGAGATGGAAGTTCTCAGGAAAACCTTTTGTTTGTAAAGTCAACTGGGAGCTTTTTTTTAAAGTTTTGCTTGTGAACACATTCAACGGAATATTAGCTGCATAAATACTGTTTCCTGATGTCCTCAACCCCAATAAAGTTACACCATGATGAAACAGTATTCAAATTGAGCTGTGAAAATTGACCTGACATTATGTAGACAACTTAGTCTCACTATTGCATGCCTCATCTGAAGCAGAAAGGGGAAATAACTTTAGATTTTTTAATAAAACACGTCCACAATTATATACTGTGGACTGTGAATAAATAATGACTCAATGTTTGGAGAGCTATGGAAAAAAATATTCTAAAAAAACATCTGCAGTACCAGAATTATGACAAAAAACGAGACTCAGATAATGGATTAATACAGAATTGATTGACAAACTTAATTATTGAAACCTTATCGATGTATGTATGTAAATTAAGAAATATTTAAAAAATGTCAGTGTCATATCTTCATGGATCTGATCATACCTTGTTTTATAAGGCGTTATCATAATATGAAAAATAATGCCTCCATTGATGAAAACATGACTTTCAGTTTGCAAGCCTTTCAAACAACCACCATCTTGACGATTAATAATAATCGATAGTTTTCAGTAAAAAGCATAAAAAATTGCCTTGGAAAAAAAAAAACTCTATAGGGATAAATTATTTTTATACTCTCTGTATTCTTTTGAGTCCATCTTTTCCTGACTTATATCCACATGAAATTTGGTCTACTCATTATTCTACTGACAGCAACAGCAATCAGCAAATGTCCAGCAGTTTAGTATCAACATGTCGCTGAGCCACATATCAAATTGCCATCCCTACAGTAGATAAATAATCCCTAAAACAGTGGGAATTTATTAATGACAGATCAATCTACTTAGTAGGCCTTAAAGGCCTTAGGCACATCTGTTCTAAACTTCATGCGCTAAGCTGATTCTGAGATCGAGATTTGATCTAAATCTTATGACCTCGCTTCACACAATAGAAACTGGGGAATCCGTAAAAATGATGTGATCACAAATCAACACAACAAAACGTGTGATTATGTTCTGGGCCCGCGTATTAATGACTTTACAGTACAACACACCGTGGTAACAGAAATGGAACCTCCACCGGGTACGGTTGACCCGTCGCCTCACCCCTCCTGCCAACCTGGATCTCCTGACTTCAGGGCCACATCATCCCCATTCTGTGGACACCTAATCCCCATAAGCCTCCATAATGCCCCTGGACAGGGAAAGGAAGCGTCGAGGGGGAGAGTTTGCGCTTAATGACCTCGCAAGCCGATTACGCGGCATCCGCATTTTTCGAAAACAGCAACGCGAGGCCCCTCGAACTCCAGCTCGAACGGAGCAAAAAAAAAAACAGGCGAACTCGTCCATCGGGACGCACGACACGCTGAAAAAGGAGGATGAGGCGCGCCAAGTCAAGTGCATCCTATCTTTTCTAGGTAGGAAACTACCACTAGAGGACAGCAAAGGCACTAGGCGGTTACACAACTGCCCCGGCCGGGAGAAGTGTTACATTATCGGCGCTCCCCGGGTGGGCTGATTGAACCCTTGACCTCGCTTAAAGACGGAGAGCATCCCAAAGGCAGCTTTCCAGAGGATTAACCGAGAAGCTTGCTCAACACCGTCCCCTTCGGTGTCGTCTGATCTTGAAATCCCTATGTTGTTTTGTGGCTCTCGGCACCTCAAATTAAGCAAGTCCAAAGGCATTACGTGTCAGATATCCCCTCCTTTGGCAAACCCAGACGGCAGCGTTGGTTTTAGAGCCGCTAAACCGTTGGCCCGATTCTTTAGTTGGAAGCCTGAGAATACACCAGAGCAGATCAAGAGTACAAATATGACATTTATTGGTCACAAGCAAAGTAAATCAGCGCTGGGCTCTCACAGACAAAGTTCCCGCCAGTTATCTCTGACATGAACAGGCCAGGCCCTAATTCATGCAGGCTTCGGTGGAGTGTGATAAGAAAGTGTGTGTGAATGTTGACCTTTAAGAGGTGTATCTAACCGAGAGAGGATGAGGAGGAGGAGGCACAGCCAGAGAGTTTAACCCAAAAGTATCATTATAAAGGGAATAAGTCTAAATAGGAATAAGACAATCAGTCATTGACATGGATTAAGTTATAACACACTGTGCTAAAGTGAGTAATTATATTCCAATTCTAACAAAACTAATGCGTGATCGCATTTTCTTCAAACTCCCGCTCAAGTTTAAAGTGGTCCTGCACGAGTCGTTGACAGTAAGTGTTTAACCGAGGCCGACGCGGTTGTGTCAAACAAAAAAAAACAAAAAAACAAAAAACAAACCCACAGCTCTGACCGCTCGCAAAAGATTTTGCAGATGGCTTCTTCCGCTCAATGCATCGAGTGTGTGTGTGTTGTGAAGTTACTTCAGAGAACGCAACAGTGTTGAAAAGTGTAGATGGTTACAAAAAGAGGACAAACATAATGCATGTATGTATTGACTTAACAATTTTTCTGTTGCTGTGTGAACTTCCTCTCTGGGATGTTCGTTACATTTTTCAAAAGACTCACCGGTCTGTGGTTTCTGTCTTTTGGCCTTTTATCCTGGGGCACGGCCATATTCTTTTAATCGTGTCACAACACCATGTTCTATAGACACTGAAAGGCCAAAGTCATTGCAGTCACTGGTCTTTTACTTGTTGACTTAAAGGGAGACTTTAGAAACTATACAGCAAAAGGAGCAGACAAAGAAATGTTCAAAATGGATGCAAACAGATAGAATGAATTCAATCAGAAAGTTTGGATTGCCACTTCGCGATGGCTGTCATTTTGTCATGTAGCTGTGACAGATAGACATTTAAAGCCGCTTTTACAACTCTCACTGTGGTTGGTGGCTGTTGATACCTCTCCATATAGGTGGAAACGAGCCGCTTTCATGTGTGCAGGATTATATTTTCACTTACATTTTCTCTTTTGCATCTAGTTTCCTGTAAACCGCCATGTTACTACAAGTCAAAGCCAAAAACCGGACCAGAAACGTCCTTTTACCGAACAACTCACAAGAAGTGTCTCCTTGTTGTTGTTGACAACCTAGATATGAATATGAGTTTCCAGACCCCATGATGAAAGCTTCGTTTTATTTTCCACTCTCGTCAACAAGCTAATATGTTGTTATAATCTCAGGTTTATCTAGATATGAATTAGCCTTATCATCTTAATAAGGGAGGATAATGCCATTGTTTCCATAAATGCTCCACGTTGTAATTCCAGATGCTTTGTCATTCTCTGGTAATCGGATTCCCTGTGGTTGAGCCCACTCTTGAGTTTCTGCGACTAATGCATGTCCCCTTTACTACCTTATGGGTAATAAATAGACCTCCTCGCATACTATTTTCTTCAGTGCTACTGTAAGTAGGTCTACTCACTAGCCTCACCCCACAGTGGTCTTACAGATAAAAATTAACCCAGTTTTAGGTTCCTGAATGAGCCTCCTACTCAAACCACTGTCTGGGTTTTGAATCTCTTCCGCTAACACTGTTCCCTTGTTGTCAATACCCGGAAACATATCACTTGAAAAATCCTATCTAATAGCACAATGCTCGTTTTGATGAATTGGATTAATGTGTCTTTTATGTCGTATCAATTCTTTGACATCCATTTTTTTTTTACAAATCTACCTTCCCGTTGGAGCTTCTCAGAACAAACACGTCCAAATTCTTTGAATGATGAATAAAAACACTTTCCTTATGCACGCCCTTGTATTGTAATTTTCTGCTAACTGCGTAGCACAATTTAGGACATAAGGTATCTTATACCTTGAGCTATTGTCCAAAAAGGAGCAGCCCACGTACAGAAACATCACCATAGACCAACAAACGTTTTTTCTTTTGCTCTTTTGAACAACAAAACGTATGTTACGATAGTCTGAGAAGATAGTCTGATCCATGTTCATGTATTAAACACCCCGGTATCTGCAGGAACATTTCTGTTTTCATGCTAACGCTTTACCATGAAGGCCCGTGGAACGAACAGAAAGTCAAGACGCCAACTTGAAATTCAGATTGCATCTAATCGGGGGTTTGAAGGCAAACAGTAAAACACAGTCTCAGCTAATCTACCAGGGGTTTTGTACTGCATGCGCACGACAAC